TATTTTCGGGTAAGTTCTCTCTAACTTTCTTAATTGCGTTTAAAATTATAGTTCAAACCAGCAACAAAGTGTTTTATAACATCTCTGTTTATATTATATTCTAATTTTTAACTGACAATTTGAATTAATTAATTTTTGTTGCCAATAATAGTAAGCTGAAATTAAGATTGTTAATGCTTGCGTACTTCAGATTTTTCATGCACTGTCATTTGGATTTCACATTGAGGAACTAGTCATGCCTGTTCTATTTGTAGCCATCAGCTTTGTGTATCTAATGATAAGCAATTATTGCGCACAAGAAATCATGGAACATAATGATGACGTCTTTATTACTGTGTAAAAAGAAGTACTTTTACGTACTATAATTATACTTGTGCTCTTTGATATAAAAATCAAAGTTAACTGCTTCAAAAAATAAACATAACGTTGTAAATATTATTTGCGTTATAAATTTTCTTAATTTTACTCATAAATTATCATGGTGCAGATACAGTGGTCAATGGTATTTAACACCCGTACATGTACAGAAAATGGTGCTGTTCCTTTTGCAAAGAAGTACTAAAGCTTTTACTTTGAATCTAGGCAGACTGTTTGTAGGATCTTTGGAAAGTGCGGCTATGGTAAGAAATATGTATGAAAATGTGTTCAACGTCGCATATTTTAAATAAATAAAATAAGAATGATTTTATTATATTACAGTTGCTGAGCACCATATTTTCATACTTTACTGTCATTTACTCTACGCAGCGTTAACATAATTCATATCTATTTAGTATAAAATAATAATAGTAAATTATAGTTAAAAGTTAATAAAAGTTAATAATCCTTAAAAAACGAATTGCAAATTGTTTGATTTCAAAGTATATTTTGTTGAGGAGGGTCTCAACTGCCTACATTCCCATTTGCCAACAGCTTCGTTTGCCCACAACATTTTCCCGACAGCTTCAATTGCCGACATTCCCGATTGCCTACAAGCATTATTGCGCACATTTAAAAATTAAAAATACAAACGTACGTTTGCACACAAGACATTATTGCACACATACACATTGCACACATGATATTATTGCGCACATACACATTGCACACATGACATTATTGCGCACATACACATT